TGAAGTGTAAGAGCATTGCTATATTCCCATCCAGCATATGAAAAATAGGCCTCTGAGAGAACTGTACATCCCTGCAATGAGCAACTTACGGTGATGTTCATATAAATCTCACCTGTATAACACAAAAGTCTCTGGACTTCTCTGCCCAGTTATTTCCGATGCAATGTCAAAGGTGCTTATTATGCTCCCTACCTGCTTTTCATTCAATCTAGCCCCTGTTTGAAGCTCAGTGATGCAGTGTTCTGATCTCCTGACAATGATTTATTTTTTTTTTCTCCACAAAGCAAAAGGAGATTTTATTCATGAACTGGCTGGGTAGGTATTTGAATTGAGTGTGGGAAAATGCAATAGAGTGAGACTATTTAAATGACACTGTGAGAACTTCCTCACTGATATGCCTGAATGTTAAATTGGTGGAACTATTGTACCCATAGAGGTGAAAAGGTAACTTAGTTTACATGGCCAGTAAGCGTGATCTATGGCTAAAAGGCTCATGATGGTATTTTTATAATAAGTCCACCCCACACTGGCAAAAAATTGAAATGTTGCCAGTTTTAAAGGATAAGCTAGAATTAAATGAAAGCTCACCACTATTTGATGTCCTCTATATATGCTTGAATGTCCCATACAGAGCACTGTGGGCTCAACCTAGGGAAAACAATTCCTAACTGTGAGTGAAAAAATCATCAAGGGAGCAGCACTTCTCATGTAATTGAAGTTATGCAACTGCTGCATAGTTCCAACAGCATGTAAAGACTATTTTCTGTGGGTTATTTATTTTCTCTTTAAGGTAAACAGACAGGTAAATTTTAAGTTAGTTATTAATATCTGTGCAGTCACCTTTTACTGCATGTTTCTGTCCAACCATCTGAGGAGATACAGTACAATTATGCATGCAAATAATGTCAATCTAATAAATTAATAGCATTCATTAAAAAAAAAAAAAAAAAAAAAAAAATAATAAAAAAAAACATTAAAAAAAAAAAAAAAACGTAAATTTTAAACCAAAAAATACCCAAAATATTAGCGTTTTTTTTCCTTTTCATCTTCCAAGGGAAAAAGAGAACTAAACTAAAAGCAAATCTCTGTTCAAGTCAGGTCACTGTGACACAAAGCAGTACAAACTAATAAATCCAGCAATGCTGACAGCCTGGCAGAATGCTCACAGGCTTCTGAGCCGTGGAAAGTTGGGAGGGCTTTGGATATAGCTCTGTGGCTTCAAGCTGACTTCTTGGAAGGAAAGAAAGGTCAGCCTGCCACAAACAGCATGTAAGGCAAGAAATGTGTGCTTGGAGTTGCACTGCATGGGTGGAGTGCAGCCCCATCCTCTCCTGCTCTGCAGATAAACCAACTTTAAGTTTGGGCAGGGAGGAAAGGACGGGAAGGAAGGATCCCTATAGGAACCCTGCTCTTCATGTTACTGACACATCACTGGTAACTCAGATGAGTATTTGGGTGTAGGTAGGAACATAGGAAAGCAGCTCACCTTCCTAACTAAGGTAATGGATAGAGACCTACTCAAAAATAAAGAAAAAAAAAACCCAGCTAAGGTACTAACAAGGCAATGGTTGTCAGAAAATACAAATTTAGGTCTCACTTTCAATGTAGCACATATAGCATGAGAAACCATAGCAGTAGTGCAGCTGAAGAAACAGCTGCAGATCAGAAGTTATTATGTACCATTATGTATTTATTATATATACATATAACCAGGTCACTTCATAGTGCCATGAAATCAACTGAAAGCTTCTTAGACCACATTTCCCTCTGTCATGGACTAGGTATTAAGGAACACACACCCCTCCACCCATAAAGGCTGGTCCCAACTATAGATACAGCTGAGATCTTTGAAAACATGAGCCAGGTGTTTGATCTTTTATGTTTCTTGGACCACAGCAAGCACAACTGCAGAGCAGCCCACAGACAAGGAGAACAGTTTGCAGGGGTTGGAGGTCTCAGCTTTCCAAATACAGGTGAGCTGCCATGGCCAGCTGCACTTCAACCTCCAAAACATTATTTAAAAACTATAAATATGATACATGTACAGAGCTGAATCACAGCAGCAGAGCTCAAAGGAAGCTGATAATTTCATGGGTTAGTTTGTTTCACTCAAGCACCAACAGAAGGTAATGCTGAAGGACTTTGATCAAAAATATCTCAACTGTACGGAACAGGAGAGACTTAGCTTCAGACACAGCCTGCATTATTCAGTGCATGAAGACCTTTTAGGGATAACTCAAAACAAAAGCCTATAGAAGACGGCTGACAAGCTTTCTAATTAATACAACAGGTTTCATACCTTTAAAATGTAATCAGTCACATCTTAAATGTCAGAAAACAAGAAAAATCCATCTGCTGAAACCTTACTCCTAGTACATAAACACACCATAAGATCCAGCATTCTGCATTGCTCAATACATTGAGAAGCACTACAAGATGTTTATTTAGCCGTATTTGTGAAGCTCAGGTCCAAAATCCTTTGCTCTTTAAAAAAGGACATAAAGACATACAACTGTAAAACCTTGTACTCAGTAAGAAAATCAAGTAATAGTTCTCTGAACATTGCTGCAGGGTTGAAAAGTCATAGTACACAAGATTTCTGCAGGGAAGGAAGAAATCAGGTATATTGATTGATGTTCACTGAATCACAGTCATTTAGTTTGGAAAAGACCTGCCAAGATCATTGAGTTCAAGCTTTGACTGATCTCCACCTTGTCAAGTAAACCATAGAAGTAAGCCCAGTAATTTCTTGAACATTTCCAGGGACAGTGATTTCATCACTTCCCCGGGCAGCCCCTTCCAATGCTTAACCACACTTTCAATTAAGAAAATCTTCCTGATATCCAACCTGAACTTCCTGTAGAACAGCTTGAGGTCATGTCCTCTCCTCCTGTCGGTTGTTAGCTGGGAGATGAAGACCCCTGACCCCCACCAGCTACATCCTCCTTTCAGATGGATGTAGAGTGATGAGCTCCCCCTGAGCCTCCTGACCCCCCCAGCTCCCTCAGCTGCTCCTCACAGCCCTTGTGCTCCAGCCCCTTCCCCAGCCCCGCTGCCCCTCTCTGGACACGCTCCAGCCCCTCAATGTCTTTCTTGCAGTGAGGGGCCCAGAACGGAGCCCAGGGTTGGAGGTGTGGCCTCAGCAGCGCTGAGTGCAGGGGGACGGTCACTGCCCTGCTCCTGCTGGCACAGCAGTGCTGATCAGGCCAGGGTGCCATCGGCCTCCTTGGACACCTGGGCACATCTTGGAGCATGTTCAGCCACTGTCAACCAGCACCCCCAAGTCCTTTTCCACTGTTCATGGTCTCTATGTAACCCAGAGCAAATTACAATATCAAAATGGACACCAAAGGCCATTTTATAATCTGGGCTTATAGCTGGAATTTTTTTTCAAACTTCGGGCAATCACATAATGATCACAAGACTTTCAGACTTACAGCAACCACAATTACCCAATCATTCCATCTTGTGTAGTGAATTCAGCAGGGCCACGAACTTCTAGGAATTTTCTGAGTTAGAGGTCTTTTAGAAATACAATTTGAGAATGTTTTTAAGCTTTGTTATCTATTCCCAAAAGGTATCTTTTTTTCCTTTTTGATTATGCCTTTGAGGCAAATGTAGTGCATTTCAGACTAATCTGTCATATTCATGGGACACGGTGACATGTCAGCCACTTAGGGATTGAGTAAAATGCAGATGTAGGCAGATTCATGCATTCCTAAGCCAAACATACTGCCTGATCTGTCTTCTAATTTCAAAATTAGGGTGATGAGGAGTAATTTTTAGTGTGGGAAGTTTCTGTTATCTGTTCTATCTAAACAGTAACATAGACAGTCTGCTTACTCAGTGGTAAATCATGTGGCAATACTTCAATTCCAAAATAATGCATGGAAATACTGTTGTTACATGGAAGTGGAATGATTGAAACGGATTTTTTTACTGAAAGTCACATTTACTGATGCAAACACAAAATAAAGAAAAAAAAACTTCAGGATGTAGAAATAAAGAATTTTGTGGTATTTATTAAAACATAATTGCTTTAAGGATCACAGTTAAAAGTCAGACTGTATGGAATATCAAAGACATTGTTTCCTAGGCAGTTAGAAATGACAAACACAGTCAAATAACACAAAAGTCTGTCTATACCACTTTATCTAGGGTCACACATTTGCACCAGCTCTAGTGGGTTTTGTACTGCTATGTGGGGATCTCAAAAATGCTCTTATTCCCAGTTCTAATGTAGATTCTTCTTCTTTGGCTTTAGGAAATTATGACCAGTAAGGACACCTTGAGACATTCCTGTACTTGTCAGTTGTCCACAGTTTTTTCCAAGATGTAATTTTTACCAACAAGCAACATCACTTATAGTTTTAATGAGGGGCACCCTGATTTAGCTGGGGATACTGAACTTACATCCCAGGGGCCTTTGTTCATGTGACAAGGATATGTCTGTACAGACCAAGCTACACACCACCAGCAGGACACAGTCACACAATAGGGGCATCTAACAAGCCATGTGCAAAAGCAAAAGCATAAGGCCAGAACTATCCAAACAAGACTCACCATTTCCTATGTTTATGTATCATTTGTAATGACTGCCAAAATTTGTTGTATTTTAATAAACTCATAAATCCTTAAGGTTTATCTGTTTCTCTGCTGTTTGAATATATCTACAATTTACTGCCTTAAATGCATGAGTTGCTTCCTAAGTGTATCAAAGGAACAAACACCACCATGTTATAATTTTTCAGTTGAATATTAATTTCTAATTGAATCCAATTCCTTTTTGACAGTTACCCCATTTATAATGGTATGCTTTTAAAATAGAAAATATGTAGCTCTACTAAATCATACTGAAATGACTCTGATGTGTATCAAAATGTTTGCAGTCATATTTTCCATTTCTTTTTGCATCTAATCTCACTATAATTTGATGCTAATGGCTGATTGAGTGTTCAGCATTGGAATTCAAAACATTAAGATTATTAAGAGTTGCAGTGAGTGAAAACATCTCTATTTAAAGCTTCTGAAATACAGAATGTAAGATTTGATGAATTTAGGATTACAGCTAAGTGATTTAGCTTTAGTAAGTGCTGAACTTTTAAGGTAAAATAACACAAACCAAAGCTTAGTGGGTTTGAATACACATTACTTCTGGTGTAATACACACTGAAATTCTCCTAAACTTTCTGAGTTTTGAAAAAGAGCCCCACTGAATTATGCAGAAAACAGTATGCTGGATTTAAGAGTTTCAATGCAACATGACCACAGATGAGACTATGAATGTATACTGTGTGCCTAGCACATTAGTTATTTCTGATGGCATTGCAGTAATAAAAAGTAAAATATGCATAAGAAAATGTGGGCAATATTTATTTTAATTCCTCCAAAATCTTACATTATGCACATGCTCACATGTACCCATGCACACAATGTACTAAAGTAAAAATTTTGCACCATGTCATACCAGAAATTCAAGAGTGTGCAATGTGTAAGAAAAATGTTTAACTGTTGTTAGAAATCTGGAAAGTCTATTCACTGTCATTCATATGCATATCTAAAAAGCAGTTTAGACAAGTTTATAAAACATTTCTTAATGACTCTTGTGATTTTTGCAGTTAAGGAATCAGGAACTCACAATATGTACATCAAGCTTGAATGGCTTGTGTATGTTACAGGTATAAAGCAGTTGGCAGGGTAAGTATGTCAAATATGCTGAAGTCCTGACATGGCAAAATCTTGACCAAAATAATCAAACAAAAAATGACCCAAATATCATCTCTATGATAAGAGAAAAGACATTTCACTTCTTGTGAAAGAGAAGAGGTTTCACCATCCCTGCTAGAATCTTGGGTAGCTGTGCAGCAATCACCTCTGACATCATCTCAGGGAATTCAACGCTCAGTGCACGGGACTGGAGAAATGTGTTCAAACAGAAGAGATGGAGCTGTTTCACCAGCTGGATTTGATAAAATACAAACATGATCAATCAGGCTAACAGAAATACAGCCACATAAACATGCTGTCAATCATTTATACATTCATCAGCTGACATCATTCTATACCTCACCCTGTCCTTTCTTGAATCAGTAATGAGGGTATTTGTCAGACCCTATTAACGGCAAAAATTATACATATAGCTATGGCAAGTCATATAAAACCACTGCTTCACTAATATTACAAAGTAGTATCACCCTCACTCAAAACATATGTGATGAACAATGGCAACTACTTAATAAGCTTTCAACCTTTCACCTTATTCTCACACCCAAGTTTATGCTTTGATCACATCCTGCTATTTAATCACTGCTCTGGGAAACAGCATTTACTACTTACCTGTAAGCTTTGCCATGGTTTTCATTATGATCATATCCATGTATGCTGCAAACACTGACCTCCACAGACTCTCATCCCTTGAAAGCAACTGCTCAAGGCATGATTATTACATCTCTTCTAGCCTCTCTCAGAGGTTCCAATTTTTATTTCAGACCAGTAATCATTATGTTGTTAAATATCAGACTATTTCTGCTACCTTACACTTTAACATCACACAATCTCTCCAGTGTGATGATTTTTCTTTTCCTTGTATCTCCCATCACTTTATCAGCCTGAGCTGAAACAAGACTTGAATGAAGATGCTCCATGGATCAAACATCACTTTGTTATTTTGCAGCAAACCTCTCTCCCTCCTCACAAGTTATTTTACTGTATGCATTTAAAAGGAAGAGTTTGCATTAAAATAAAATGCAGATTTGCTGAATTCTGAAGAATACAAAGATGCAAAGATCCTGCCCATCTTGCAGTCCTTCGGAGTTCCTCACAACCAACATTGAGTTCAAAAGTGTCCAGGGCTTGGTATCTAGAATTGTCAAAGATTACTCAATTTCCAAACCTAGACAGATACTGAAAAAGTGGTATAGAATATCCACATAAAACCAGTTGAACTAAGGTCACAAAGACAATCTTGCTTGCCTTTCACCAATTCTTAGTAATCTGACTTTGCAACTTGAATTGCCTCTTCCTCACACTATTTTCCTGAACAAGTACACACATGCTCGCACACACATATACACCACCCCTACCAAAGCCCACAATTGTAGTGGTTATTTTGCACTAAAAATGAAATAAAATGGTAGCACTCTAATGCATGTCTCACAAATACTTTGATATTGTATACCATAACATATGTGCACAATACATATACTGATGCTGCATACATAACTATCTATTCACACAAACATATACAATAAAGGATTTCTTTTTGTTTTCTTCTGTTGTTTAGTAATGCTGACAACTCCCTTCCATAGAATTACTTTTAAGAAACTCCTTCTTACATAAAGAGCAGAAAGCATTAACAAATAAACTTACATCATGCATGGAATCCATCAGTTTTGTAAGCTGATAGAAACGCTGTGAGTTGGCCACAACACCTTTCTGGCGCAAACCAATTGCCTTCACCAGTTCTCTGATGTAACTTGTTCTCATCTCATCAAATTGACTTTGACTTCTTAGACCTTCCAAAGGAACTTAAAAACAAAACCAAACCAGCTGAGCTACAATTTACTCTGAAGGCAATGAAATTTAAAGTACAGGAAAAATTTACAGTGTTTCATGCTGTACAGTGCAATTCATTGTTATGTGCCAGGTACTTCTTCCCATTCAAGAGTTACTCCAAAAACAGTGATACAATTAATTAAAAGGATACACCAGGATCAATCAGTTCATTTTGCTAATGCCCTTATGTCTAGAAATATCCCTAAGCCTAACAAACATGTGTTTGCCGGGGAAAAAAAATATGGCTTAAAAAACCACTCCTGTCTTTGAGGAAACACGTTATGGACTGACCCATACACTGCTGAGGATCTGCCCTCGTCACAGCGAATTTGTGGTAGAGAGATCTAGCTGGAGTGCTTCAGAATGGAGTCCAGGAATGAACTAACAGCTCTGAAGTAGTGCAGACAGTACAGTTGCCAGGGCTTGGATCTCCTGTTTGAACCTCTTTCACTTAACAGAACCGATCAAAGACTTAAAGGTGAATAGCTTTTTAAAACATGAACAAGGAGGAAACATTGGTTGAACTCTCTCTCTTTAAAGGTCAGATGTGAGAATCAAAATGAGGACGTGAAGAGAACACTGAAAAAAGAACCTGTTAGTGACTGTTAGCAGTAAGTGTCATGTTAAAAAGAATGCCTTAATTTTCAAAGCCTGGATGATTCTGGACATTTCTTGACAGCAGTTTTATAGAGAACTAAGGAATGTTTTATAATAAAGTGACTCTGATTAAATTTAGGGTTAGATGGAAGCTATCCTTGACTTACTTCTCTAAACCAGCAATTAAGTCTTTATATTTTCCCTGAAAATTAATTTTAAAGGTATTTCCTACCGGTGAATGGCCTTTTTCCTCTGAGTTCTACAAAAAGACAGTCACATCCCTACCTAACAACAAAAAGTTCCTTGGAGCTATCTATTCAAGCTGTTCCCTTGAACATATGTCAAGAATGAGGATGCTTTTATTCAGCAGCATGAACTGAGCCAAAATCTTATGTAAAAAGATTTAGAAATTCCTTTAAATCAGAAGTCTGGAAAGCATTGCATTTAAGCCTCAGCCAACTCAAAGAAAAATCTGTAAAATCAAATATAGTGTTGAAACTTAGGCTGGGGGTCCATTCAAAATTAGAAATGTATCAAGACTGACACTCAGTTTTATTCAAATTATTGTTTCTTTGGAATTATCTAAATATGTCAAAAACATTTAATCTAAATAATAAATTGAACACAAGACACAATGAGAGACTAAAGGATTAGACTTGATTTACTGTTAGTATACAAAAGCCTGAAATGGCTATACTTTCACAACTGAAGTGGATTAAGATGAATATCATGACTAAAATAAAAGTAATCTTAAAACACTTTAGAACAACAATGAGGTTATATGGCTTTTTGAAAATACTTTTGTGGAATTATATTTATACAGTACTAAATGGTTACTAAATGTCTCAGCAACAACTGTTAGGTGTGTTCCTTTTCCCAAAGATGTGACAAATTGTTTTTTCCTATAAGAAAATAAATGCAGGAGAGAACAAAAAGCAAAACTCATCAGAACAGGTAGAAATACTTTTTTTTTTAAAAAAGTAATTTCTTGCATATACATAAACATATAATCTTAAAAACATAGCTTCTGAGTGCAATGCAGTTGATAAAGAAAGGTAACTGGATGAATTCTGTTAAACTGATGTACTCAGAAATAAGAGGGATTGAACCAACCACTGTAATGCATTTTTGAATTTGATATGAACTTTCTGGAACAGAGATAGTTGAAAAGTCACAAATTTATCTAAATGTAACTGAATTTCAGAAGATAGACACCAAAGTTTTTTTTGGGATGAAAACAAGGTGGAAAACATTTAAAATAGGAATACATTCATATTCTAACAAAGCAACTGGAGTTACATCAGGATTTTTATCCACATTACTGCTTTAGCAGAGTGTATGGCATTTTGCCATTCTTTTAGTAATTTCCATGTTCATATGAGCTAAACTTAATATTTTTAAACTTACTCTCTGCTGAGACCAGTTTTTTTTTTAAGAATGGTTTTATGCAAATACCAGCCATGTACAGATTGAGAGTGAGTAAATTTCAATTCCTTATCAATAACTTAAACTTTGTAAAACCAAGAAGCAGGTCATGCAGGATTTACCCATCTCTCCTCTGACTCCATTGTGTGTTGAGAATCAAACTTTTACATTCTTTCAACTATATTTTTCAAAAGTGTTTATTCTCATTTCTAGCAGCACCTGTATAACTTTGAAACTTTCTATTTGGGGATTCATAAGTAACAATTATGGCCTCAGCAGATGCAAATTTTAGTATTTCAGAGAAGATTTTGGAAGATAAGTTCACCAGCAACCACATTTCCTCTGTAAAAGGGAATGCAGCTGTATGCTGCATTCTTTAAAAGATGCCTATAATTAAGTGACCACGGATTTTGTTTCCAGAGAAACAAACCAAAGAAAAACATTTCCATTTGTTTATATCTGTGCTGAACTTCACCTATTTATAACTATAAAAAGTTGAATAAATGCTAGTATTGTCTGTCATGGCCACTTCCCTAATTCTTTTAAGCAAACATGCATTAAGATTTTGGTCAAGATAAAGCCCTCAGATAATTTATTAAATATTCTAAAATATATTCTAATACTTTTAAGGTTGTTTTGGTTTGGTTGGGACTTTTTAATTCTGTGTAGAGTCACTTGAACTAATGTTTCTAGGCAGAAATACTGCACAGTTGTTTTGAAAATCTGTAACACAGCATAGCCATATGTCAAAAGGGATCCAACATTTCCCCAGTATCTTTATGCACAATAAAACCAACAATGAATCACAAATTCTTTGTTCTTTATAAACATCAGAAAAAAGTATTTTTTAGTTTTAGAATACTAACATTACATCTAGGACATTTCCATTTGTTAAGCCAGAGAGCTTAGTGATTGTCAAGTTAAATAACATGGTTCAAAACCCTTTTAGTAGTGATGTGTTACAAAGAAATAAAAGAACCTACTTGTGTTGAGAAGTAACAGTGCTTTCATACACAGGAATTCTTCTTGGCTAACTTGAAGTCTGACAAATTCCTGTGGGAGTTGCCACATGGATAGACACAGGGAATAGAACGATGATTCTTTCATCCTCTGTCTTACACCCAGAAAAGTTAAAAAAAATAAATTAAAAGACATAAAAACAAAGACAAAGAATGGCTCCAGTACTAACTCCTTGAAAGAAAGGTCTTGTTAGCAGTTTATCACATTACAAAAATTAAAGATAAGCTTATAAACATAAACAATTTTCTGATTTTTTTCTGTTCCTATGCTAGTTTTTTACGGTAATGAATGTGCTACTATTTTGGATGCTTAATCTGTTACTGCCGTCCAGAAAAAAACCCCAAAAACTAGCAAAGTTGAATGCTAATCACCAAAAATAAGGGGAGTTTGTTAATTAAAATACCCTAATGAATAATGTGAGGTAATATCTAGGTACTATCTTATTTTAGAAGTCCATAGGTTCTTGTATCTCCATAAAGATTTCAAAGCATAAAACTGAAGACAAATCTGAAAGTCTATAAAAAACTTGTTCTTAGATTTGCAAAAATGTCTGTATCAAGATACTTTGTAGCAACTCTAGCCTGGTACTTCTAGCATCAATGATATTACTTTGTAGCACATTATGCCATTAAAGAAACAGTTAAAATGGGACATGCTAAGTAAATGGAGACATTAATACAACCTTTCCTAAATTCCCACAGAAGTAACCAGAAGAAATCACACAGGAAATACATAAAACTGTGGGGTTTTTGCAGCACTTTGATACCATTTTTCTCTCTGTGATTTTGGTATATTGAGTATATATTATTGCGTGTACTGAGTAGGAGAATAATTTTCAACTGAAATTACTGCAATACTAGCATTACAAAGTTTCTAATCTAGACTGAATTCACCACATATTAACCTGATGATCCAGTAACTTGGACTGATTTGAAAAGGTACAATAACAGGAAGATAAAATTTTGCTCCTCCGCCTGCTAAGGGGTTCAGATCAGCATTCCAACCTGACTGCAAGTAGTGACCTCAGCAATAAAACAGAAGACATTTTCCATTTAAAAAATACTTTTTCAATGCATGGAATTCTTTTCTTGTTATTTAAAGCGTTCCTGACAGCTTGAATGAAAATTATTCCAATGTTGTTCAACATTTGGTATCTTGTACCAGCTCTTAAATTACATAACCATAGAAATTTAATCTTTTAACCTGAAAAGACTTGTTTATGGATCTACTTTAAATTTCCTTATCTATTACTTTTTGGCAGCATCTCTTGCTAATTATTTTCTATGAAGAGCAATAGCAGCTTTTGGGGTTAGCACCTTAAATGTGTTCTTACTCAAATTTTAGACACTGCAAAATACAAGTAACAGTAAGTCCTTGTAGCGTGTTTATACAAAGAAAACTTTGTCAAACTAGCACTACTGGCCTTCTTGGTCTGAAACTGATGCTACCAAACACGTCCTTCCCCAGAAGCATAACAACTCAGTTCACTAAATGATAGACTGGCTGTGACACAAGCTCTGGATTGTGGTTTCATGGTAATCATGAAACAGCTACGGTGTATGCTACCCCTGCAGAAGGACTTTCCATTATCTCTTTCTACCTCTAGGCACACACTCCTGTGATTCTGCCATTAGTGCTTGCACTCCTAAATGGTTGAGTCATGTCAGGGATCATCTCCACTTGCTAATGAATGGCTTTTTCTGGGTACATCTCAGGCATATAAACTCCTTATCTGTTTGACAGTGCAGCCACAGAGTGCTTGGACCAGCTCAGCTAAAGTAATGGGGATGCATGACCAGGACAGTTAACTTTCTTGGCAGTGTTCAGCAGTTACCCTTGCTTTAGGTGAACATGAAAGTACAAGCTTAGACATCATTGTAGATAACAAAGTTGTTTACATTTTACTGTCCTAAAAGCTAACTAATTTTCAATAAATAATTTCAGATATGATTCAGTGCATCAGATACTTTTCATAGCTCTTTGTTTATAACAACTCTAGTACGACCTGAGATGTTCTACAACCAAGAGAGGAATATGTTATCAGCACCCAGCATAGATGATATTGAGTTGGTAATTAGAAGCTGTGTCTGGTGGATTACAATCAGGGTTCATAAATCTCAACACCATTACCAAACAAAGTACTTAAAATCTTCTTCACAAGCTGCCAGCAGTGGTCCACAAGTGGGGTGATACCCCCAGACATTACTGCTTAAAGCCATCTCACTCTTTGTTTGTTCTGAATGCAACCATAAGATGCATCACACTATGCTGGGACAACAATGCAGCCAGAAATTCATTCAATCTCATAACTTCTAAGTATTTCCATTTGTACAGCACAATTAATAAAAATGGGAGAGGAAACAATTCATTACTCAACAACCTCACAGTGATTTACAATCATCTGGAAGAGAAAAGGTCAGGAGCTATATGGTTGGCTCTACTGAGTATCTTCTACAAAGAACTTCACTGGGAGGATCTTGCACATCTGTAGATTTTAAAATCAGGCATCTAGATCTTCCTCAAATGCACCTCTTAATCCTTAAACAATATGTCTTACAAAACACCTGTTTTTCTTTCAGCTTGCTTCATAGCAGTTCTTTTAGTATTTTAAGAAAAAATAACTGAGAAAAATTTATTAAGGAAACACAAATATAGGGATTAAATTATGTTTTACTGTTCCTGGCAACCCCCCATGTACTATAACCAAAGAATATAAAATTACAAGTCTGACAATATTAATTTGCAGAGCTGGAAAAATGACAAAGACTGAAATTACAATTATCTAAATTAAACAGCATAGAGAAGGAAAATCCAAGCTAAAATGCCCCTCCCATCCCTCAGAAGAAAAGAGCAGTCTCATATAATGCTTCCTTGATATTCCTATTTGATAAATAGTTTTTTACTGAGCATTTAGATTTCAGGCAAACTATTTGCAAAAACCACCCAAACAATAACAACCAAAAAACCCCACACTCAGTTTCATTTAGTAAACATTAACTCATGACTTATTCAGGTGAATAGAAGTAAATCTTCTGACAGTGTAATTTTTTTTTCTTAGATAATTAAAATACTATCTGAACTGCTTTTGCTGAACCATGTACACAGAATAGTTGAGGTTCCCACGAAACCCCTCCCAAAGATACTGAACTTTGATATGGTCAGAGGAGTTGGCCATTACTTTTGAAACAGGACAAGTAATGAATGAAATCTTGTTCTCAAGAGTCACATTCCCATTGGCACATAAAAGTTCAACATGTTATTCATATACCATGGAAGCATTCTACTTACTCATTTAGAATCAGATCTGGTGCAAAATACAACATCTGACCACTGACGTGTTTGTATGATCTCCACCCCATGGCAAAAACCATTAGACTCATCCAGGAATACTGGATGAGGGTTATCTGATCGTCGATATGCAAATTCCGAAAACCTGGAAATGAAATTAAAGATAAAATATTTCATAATTCTAATTTAGACAGCAGCTAAGTAGGTGTATTGAGGTTACAAATATGAGCTATCAAACTGAGAACACCTAGAAAGACATAGAAAGGTTTTGGGGATGTAGGTCTCCAATGCTTGGGTAATAACTGCGTATCTTACTCTGATAGTTAACCTCGTATCTTTTTGTTCTCATCCAGTATTTTGAAATGTTCACACCAAAATTTATTTAACAGAAATTACTGTTTTAGAGGATAGGAATGCATCTCTTTTTCCTTTGGTAAAAAATATGACAGTTTGTAACATGATCACTGTAAAAAATTCTCATTTAATGTTGATAGCATGAACATCAGTGCTCTTACCATAAGATGCAGTTGTCACACAAAAAACATCCATATATGAGTATGTTTCTTGGGCTCAACTAAAGAGAACCATATTCAGTTGTACGTTTGTGTTTTATTATTTTTGTTGTTTGATAAATTTAAAGATTGTCATGAATTATCTGAGTGAAACTAACAGCTTCCTGCCACTGAAAGCAGCACTCCTGTTCCTCATTGCATGGTCCTGTTACCTCCTTCAAGCAAGCTTTGGCATTCATGCTCCTCCACAGTGAACTTGTTCAGTTCATGAATACATCAGAAAACCATACAGGACAAAAAAAAAATGGTTTCTTTTCTTCTCATTTAGTGAGATGAATCAATTCACTCAAGAGGTCTGTTGAATGCTAACTGCAATGGGAAGAGCAGTGATTGAGACCATTGCTTCCTGCAGCACTGAAGTGTCAAACTGAGCTCATGAAACTGTATTTTCCAGGCTTTCTGCTCAATATATTGATTTCTATATATCCCAGGATGACCATGATGATCCCTATCATGATACAGCACACATACATACATAACATGGATGTTTTTTTATCCAATTGTGGATCTTCATAAATTCAGTTACTTCTCATTACCAGTCTGTTTGTGAGCTGCTCAGTTCTAATTGGTATTATTTATAAAAATTCTTCTTTGTTACTTTCAAAAATTCATTTTAGTAATAAGAATAAAGAGTAAGCAGATACACAACCTTTTTATATCAAATGAATAAATAATAGAGTAAGAGGGGCTGGGTAGAAAGGCTGCAATAACAATCACATACAGGAACTGCTGAGCTCCTGTGCTTTCTTGGAGTGAATATAAATATTTAGATGGATTCTTTCAAATGTGCTTCCCTATTAAAACATATTTGATTAGTTATATTATCTGATAAGTGAAAGCTTAATCATTTTGAGATTTGAAAAGAATGAACAGGCAGTCAATAATATTCTCTTTAGACTGCTCCTTTCATGAAGTATTTGCTTTACTACAATTCACTACATATAAGAAATTATATTACCTGGCAGTAATTTAGACCACTTGACTACACAAAGAAGTTGCCTCTCACAAAGATGATTCAGACTGGTCAGCAAGGAACTTGGTGTTTCAGGTTTTGTATTGTCATAACCAGCATAGACAACTTCTGGCTCAATGCCTCGTAGAACACTTATCATTGGGGGAACAAACTGTATTTCTTGATTTGGAGAAAAGGACAGCCTTTGGGTTAGAGACTGGCTTTCATCTTGAAGTGCTGCTGGCTGCTGGAGTGCAACATCTAACGTTCTCACAACCTTGATTTTGTTAAACTTTTTCAATTTTCGACCTGAAAAAGAAAATTGTTGATCTGTTAGAGAAAGAGTTAACCAAGAACATTAGTATTTTCCACTAGTGTTGGATTGCACTTTTAATCTATACAAGGAAACTACAACTGTATTCAGAATAAGTTTTCTATTTTTTGACTATTTGTGTAAATGAAAAATGATAATGGAAAATTCTTTTGAGCTTCTCCCTCTGTATCCTGCTCCCTTCACTAAGGGATGAACAGCACTCACCCATTAAAATTATTGCCATGAATTCTAGGTTACAGTAACCTCAAAAGTGTTTTCTGGTTCAATTCCCACTGTTCTGTCATATGCCAACAGCTGAGCCAGCTGGCTCTACAATCCAGTTTCTATTTAATGTCAATTAAAGATACTGCTTCTTTTACTCCCTTATATTCAAAACCAAAATTGTTAGTAATTAATTACTACACACATAAACTCCTTTCCTCCAGTTCCCTAAGAGCATTTCAGTCTCATGGCTGAATCCTATTTTGGTGCCTAGGGGGATGAGTGAAAGACTGACAAATACTGTAAATGTTTAGAAGACATTGAAGATATTTCAATTCCTAAAGCATCATTTCCCTTCCTCGGTATTTTTAATTGCTATTTACATACTGCAGTGGTATGAACAACATTAACTAAAACAAATTAATAGCTGAACTGCCTTCCCAAAATAAGCACAGACACACGTGGTATGGCTACAGAAATATACAGGTTTAGGTAGCAATTCTTCAAATTTCTTTCATGGAAACAATCTGGCAGTGCACCCAACAGACACAGAAAATCAAGCCTTCAGAGGTGTCTCAGTGACATATTACCAGTTTCAATAAAAAGGCAAATCCATGCAGAGGTGACTACATGGAACATATTTGCTTTAAGTAGATCCTCAAAGGTGATGAAAACCCCGCTAGATTTTTAGTTCTGCCAAACAAGTCTATCTTAGGGAGAAAAGTGTCAAAAAATGCAATGAAGATACTGACACTTACGGTCTGATTTACATGACAGGGGGACAGAAATAGACATAGGAGCAATGGCAAAAACAGTAACACCCATCATGCAATGACATTCAGGGGTCATATTCTCCATATTTAATTAGTTTAGTATCAAGTGCCCCAACAATCATGTGCTCATTTTATCACTTGTGATAATAATAAAAATATTTCTAATTTGAGATTTCTTAGTGAAGAACCAAACATGTAACATCTTATGTTACAGCTGAACCAAGGAAAAAAACAGCAAAACAAAAACCCACTAAAGAATAGACAATTTATTATGCCAAAAGACCTAGAGCCAGTTTTTATCATAACAAACATGTGCATAAGTCACAGACATGCTGGGAATTTCCCACTAAGTATTGTGTAGGCATGAAGGAAAACAGAAGTAACAATGCATTTGATAGTTCATAAATAATGATTTCAGGTATTTTCAGAAATAATGGCTTCAGATACTTTTACAGTTCAGAGAGCAAGTAAAGAAAGAAACCAAACAGAATGCTTATCACATGGAAATGTTAATAGTTAATAAGTACCCATGTTTCCAAGTGACTAAATGTATCAGAATTAATATCACACTGATTTGTAGAACTACTCGTGTGTTTATTGCTAATTATGTTGCTTAACAGCCACCTATAAAACAACTCCACTTGTTACCTATCTACAGGAGAGGTGACTATTAATAACTTGAAGCAAACTTTCCCATCTACAAAAAGGAGACTACATCAAATTAATAAACACTCTTAAGGACATAAGGAAAACAATGAAGATTTGACAATAGCTTAGTTTTTCATTTGCTGTTTACAAAGAAAGTAAGTTTGTGCTGTAAGATAAGTAAATGTCTCCACGTAGCCCCATAATGGGTAAATAATACTAATCCATTCTGATAACTACTTTTCTTAATACTGTAATATAGACTTCTTAATACTATATGTCTGTGCGTATTTAGACAACACACACTTTTTTCATAACATTTTCATTACCTCACTTTAAGACAGCTAACCACTCAAGCAGTTTCTTGATACTCACTGTTCCCCTACCCCTGATTACTATAAATAGCATGTTTATAGTGTTTGTGTTCTACATGTACCTAAAAACATTTTAAAAATCTGTTTAATCCAACTATCATATAAATTATTATTTTCTCCTTACTACCTAATTCTGTATTTCAATAGTTTTTTTAACTAGGTATACAGAATCATACAGACAATCAGACATTACTGACATTACTTTTATATTAAAAGGACTGGGTTTCTAGTAGAAGTCTAACATCCCACTACCCTTCTCCTTACGCTGTAATAAGGTGAAAAGCATCAATGATGTATTATTTTTGACAGAACACAATGGCCCTTACTTTAAGGTCACTATGCTCCTGCGTTTTATGTAGAGAAACAAGCCGTGTACACCTTAATGGGGTGTATACAACATAGGAAAAGTAGCAAAACAGAAGTAACACATATTGGTTTTAATAAACCCTTTGATCCTCCCTCAGAAAATATGACCTGGAAAATTAATTCACCTTTTTCTGCATGTAACCACTGCTGATTGAAAGCTGATTGAAACAATGAAGGACACAGTAATTTAGCAATACAGCTGAACAAGGAATCTGTGATAATCAGCCTGGGAAAATTACAGATTCATTCATAATAAATAAGACTTGAGTATTTGTTTATTCCAGGACCTGATCCAGCTGCCTGCTATCCTATTAGGTTTAAGATTAGAAAGGGGATAGATTAATGTCTCAAGTTATGAGGTTATAAAACCCAAAGACAATTAATACTTTCACAGAAAATGACAAATATAGTACTATGAAATGTATGTTTTTATTGATACTTTCCTTCTATAGATCAAGAAACAGTCCATACAGGGAAATAAATTACTGAAGACATTGGTTGCTATTCTTTAGTTTACTTACAACCGACTTGAAATTACTTTTAAAATATTTCAGGGGTTTGAAATTTCTTTGAATTTAGGATTGAAAAATTGAACAGTTATTCATATAATAAACTATTACACTTTCATCTATATGGTTGCCACTCAGTGACATTCAATGAAAGACATGTACTTCCCTAAGAAGCAAGTTTAATTTAATTAATATTGTAATTTTTCTAACCTTATCATTAATATCATGTAAAATCTTAGTGTTTCTCATGTTAATTAAGCAATACAGCAGGTCTACATTTAACTCAAGGCCAGCATTAAGAAACTACGTATCAGAGAGAAAAGAACAAAAATATATCTATGTAAGGTCTAAATGGCAGAAATCACAAAATGCACAAAAAATCTTGACCTAAAAAAGTTGCAAACACAAGAACAGATTTAAGTATTGCCAGTTCCAATTAATTTAAAATACTCAAGGATGTCTCTAAGCATGTACTTTATTCCAAAAATTGGAAATTTGCATATGGGCTTTTATCACAGAATCACAGAATTCCAGGATGGGAAGAACCTCAAGGACTAATCAGTCCAACCTTCCTTGGCAAAATCACAGTTAGACAAGGTGACCCAGCACCTTGTCCAGATGAATCGTAAAAGTGTTCAACAGTGATGAGTCCACCACTAATCTTGGACGATATGTCCATGGCCGATTCTTCTCATTGTGGAATATTTTCCTCTTGTGTCCAATCAGAATCTGCCTAGGAGTAACTTGTACTCATTATCCCTTGTCTTTTCCATGTGACTGCTTGTAAAAAGGGAGTTTCATCTTCTTTGCAGTCACCCATAAATACTGGAAACCAGTGATAAGGTGTCCCCTAGGCCTTCTTTTCTCAAGGCTGAACAAACCCACTTCATAGAATCAGAGAATCACAGACTCTTTTAGGTTGGAAAAGACCTCCAAGACCACAAGTCCAACCTCCAATGCATTCCCACCTTGTTAACTAGACCACTAAGTGCCATGCCCAGTCCTTCTTCAAACACCTCCAGGGATGGTAACACCACAATCCCATCTCTGGGCAGCACATTCCAAAGCTTAACAACCCTATCTGTGAAAAATTTGCTCCTGATGTCTAAGCTGAATATCCCTTGGCACAGCTTGATAACATGTCATATCATACTGTCCCATGATCCCTGGGAGAAGATGCCAACCCCCATCTTGCTACAACCTCCTTTCAGGCATCTGTAGAGAGTAAGAAGGTCTCTCCTGAACCTCCTTTTCTCACAGCTAAACACCCCTGGCTCCCTCAGCTGCTCATCATAGGATTTATGCTCCAAACCCTTCCACAACTCTGTTGCCCTTCTCTGGACATGCTCCAGCCCCTCAATGTCTTTCTTGTAGTAAGGAGCCCAGAGCTGGACACAGCACTCGAGGTGTGGTCTCACCAGTGCTGAGTACAGAGGGACAATCAATCACTGCCCTAATCCTGGTTGTAACACAATTCTTGATATAGGCCAGGATGCCATTTGCCTTCTTGGCCACCTGGGCACACTTCTGGTTCATGTTTACCCTTTCCTCATATGGCAGGCTTCCCAGCCCTTTGATCACTGATGCCCTTGGGAAAATTATCTAAGCCCTGTAACACTCCAAATATTAATCATATTGCGTTGCTCAGCACATCAAGTCATGGACAGGAAATATTGCTCATGTGATACAACAAAAGAATTATAAGAAATGGCAGATAAGCAAAAGGAAGAAGGGCAACAATATAACCATAGAAAGAGTGTTATGGTTAACAGTCTATCTTGAGATTTTGTTTGTAGTTTGAATTTTAAATCCTCATTTACAAATAGTTTAATTTCACTCCAGTTTTCCTCATTTTAGGTCTACATTTGTCTTTTCTTCTTCTTTCAGTACTAAGCACTCCATTTCAGCCTGCATAAAACAATTAGTTTCCTAATCCCCCCCAGAACTGTTGACATAACTAAGAGCACCTGAGGCACTTAACATGAAGCAGCTGATAAAAAAACCAGAGGTGCCACAATCACAACTCCACTCAATATTTCCTTTTTTCTGCTTTCTATTTGCTGTCAGATTACTCCTTTCCAGAGGACGGTGTAGATGGGGATATCAGGGCAGAGATCTGATGAAATGCAATGTCCCTCTAAGAACTAGAGAAACTAGACTGCACAGGCTTCTAAAAAAATGGGCAACAATTTTGATTAGATATACTTAGGAGATGACTAAGCAACACAACAAACTGGCTAGGTACAAAAATCTAGCATTAAATACAAAGAAAATATTTACACTTGCTTTGTAACAGCTGAGAAAAAGAAGGTGATCCAAAAAGGTGACGAGAAAGATGAAGATTTTACTCTCCTAATTACCTGATTGTAATAAAATAAAAGTCAGAGCACTTTTATCCTCAGGTTTTGTAGGAGGATGTAACATCTTATTATGAGGATACACTCATGAGGACATATCATCTGATTAACATTGCTGGCAAAAGTGTCCAACTGTTTCCTGTTCCTAGTACCTACACCCAGAGAAAAATGTATATATTAAAAAACACTAGGGAAAATAGCATCCATAAATGCACACCAAGTGTAGGATGAAGTCAAGCCTGCTGGCAACTTTTCCTATTACTATGCAGACAATGCTGAAGCAAAAGGACTAGACAATGATAGTGAGTCATCTCACACTCTTCTGCTTGTTGAAACTGCTGCCTGTGACATTGAAACACACAGAGTTTAGTTATTGGTGTTATGCAGGGTATCATAAATGAAAATTTCGGTTAGCTCATAATCAAACTCCTAGCTGTGCAAAATTCACAGTCAGGAATGAATTTTTATCTGTGTTACACCCATTAGAATCAAAAATTGGTTTGGATTGGAAGGGAATCTAAAGATCATCTAGTCTAAGCCACCTGCCTTAGACAGGTGTATATTTTAGAGGTCAAATTGATCAAACCTTGCATGTTCTCCCAAAGTTTAAAAGGCAGGCACTACATCTGCCAACTCCTCTTCCTGAGTCTTCATTCTTACTCTGTATTTTCCACAGCCTACTCAGGACCTCTGCTTCCTTGGCTTTCTCCTCTTCCAAAGCTGGGCAAACAGGGCTTTAGGTTCTGCCTTTGTAGTAATACTATTTCTCTACTGCACTGCTACTTTAGTCTTAAAACACCACTTCAATCTGAGAAGGATCCAAAGGACATGTTCTCCTTTTGTCCCTCTCCCCTCAGCCCAGTGGCACCAATGTGCTTGTCAGCTCCTTTTATTTTTTTTAACTGAGAGGTGCCACTGACTGACCACGTAAGAGTGGCACAAAGCCCGTGTGTGCTGAGTACTCCAGCTCCATGGAGCTTGCATTCAGCTTACAGGAGCTGGAAACACAGAGCTGTGCAACCAGACTATCAGTCTGAGAACTATACACGTTTTACATTATCAATGAATGCTGATCAGCAAGATAATGAAATTATGTACAGTATATAGTGCCAGCTCTTCCTTCAGGGATAAAAAACAATACTTAAATGTAGGGGAGGGAATGTAGGGTTGAGCGAGGAGACAGACAGATGGCTTTGATGGGCTAAAATAGATTAAATTGGAAATAATACAGGTTTTTGTCCTTCCCCCTTTTTTTTTAACTCCCATTAAGAAGGGAGTTTTCTTTCTATCACTTTTATATGACCATTAAGATTTCTTATAGTCTTAGCCACATATTTTCAAGCTTTGTGCTGATCCAAAATAGGGAAAAAAAAAAAAAAACAACCACCAAAAAAAACAAACCACAGAAAAAATAAGCATCATTCCTGCCTGTAAGCACATCAAAACTTGCCATGTGACTACCTGATCATACACCATTTTCTCCCTGTAGGTTTTCAAAGGCAAAGTGCTCAATTTCGTTTAATGATACATAAAGATCCCCAAATCTGTTACAGAAAGAACTAATACAAAGATGAGATTTCCCAGCACCTAATATGCAAAACCTGCAGTATTGGTGCAACCACTGCCTGGCCCTCTCTGGTAGAACAGAAGGATACAATTTTGATGACATGTATTCAAAGCAATTATGAAGGGTATAACATAAATTAGAAGAGCACAGTACTGATTCCTAACTCTAGTGTCAATTTCAATCTACCTATTTTTACCAATATCAAATTACCTGATCCAAAATTATTAATAAATACACACCCAAGACATAATTCCTTTCTCTTCAAAAAAATGAATGTAAATGTACACAGTGATTCCTACAGAAAGGTGTTTCGTCAGGGTTTCCAGATTTAAGTAATTCTTCCAAAAATAACATTTGAATGTGGTTTTTCTTTTACACTATCAAAGTACTGTTGTTTAACCTCAACAGACTGAAGGTAGTGTATTTGATGACCTATTTTTATAAATCCACTTGAAAAACAGCTCACCTCCCAGGACCATACCAGCTTGACAGCACTTCCTCAAGCGACATGCTGGGCAGTTCTTCCTACGGATTTTATCGACTATGCAGTCATTTCTTCCAGCACATAAATAGTTGTGCTGCCCTGCAGGGAAGAGAAAAACAGGGTGAACACTATGTTTTCTAACATGACAAAATTATTTCTGTGTATAAATGTTGCAAAAATAACTGAAGATTCAAAAAAGTGTACTTGAACCATTAAAGAACACCTTCATTTTATGCTAGCTTTTGACCAATCATGATACTATTTGAATATGATGCTTTATTTGGTCTAAGGGCAAAACTCTTCATCTATGAAATTCTAAAATAATTAGCAGGCAGCATGAACTTATGCTTAAATTATTATACTAATAATATTTCTTAAGTAAATCAAGCACAAAGACAGACCAATTGTTTCTTCAAAACTTATTTTCCTGTGAAGTTATTGATCCTGTTTTAGAACTTAAGTACATTTTGCTTGGATTGATGCGGAGTTTCTGACAGCAAACAGAATTAAGAAGTTGGGGTAGTGTGCAAAAAAAGCCCTTTACGCAAAGCAAAAAGCCTCCGATGGAGAAGTATTTTGGTACTAAACTTGCTGAAATACCAGCTGACCAACACAGTCAAAAAGGACAAATAGAAGTAGGCTGTAACTCTGTGGTTTAGATTAGCTAAGTCTATTGCTTAATTCTGCATTTGCTTCTGTGCTACCATTTTAAAAGATAAATAGTTTAATTCTTAATTTTAGTGAAAGATACCCAATTGTCTGAAATTCCTTTTCATAACAACTTTTTTTTAACTACAGGTAAACAAAAACAGTTGCCACACACATTGCCTGGCAACAAAAACGACCTTAGTAATGTTTTAATCAGAAGAAATTCTCATTTACTTTGTCCCATTAATTCTAATCCTGGACTCCTCCTCACAGGAAACATTACCAAAAGCAGACAAATTAATAAAAATCCATCTTGCTATTGGCAGCAGACCAGTAAGCAAAACACTTACTTTGAACAATTCTTCCTTGGGATTACTTGCAGTTTTTCTATGTATTTCTTTGCCTTTATGAGCTACAAAAAACATTCAGTCTTCTGATAAGCAACAACAATGTAAAAACTCCATAAATTTAATTAAAATCCATGAGTATTTTCTCAGCTCCATGGCATTCTATTGCTTTAATGCACAGCTCATTTAGAAAGGAATGCTTAAGTACAGATAAAGTTTTCTTTGTGCTTTTCTTGTTTTGGGGTTTTTCTTTGGTCTCCTGAAATGAGATTTCTTCTGGACCTCTTTTCTTTGGTCCCCTGAAAGGAGATTTCTTCTGGACCTCTTTTCCAGGGAATGTTAATTCTTCACAAGATAGTCTGACTCCATAAAAACCTTGTCCTGCTCATTATAAATCTAAGACTGAAGAACATTTTTCACATTTACAAAACATATAGTAATGGAATCACAGTTATGAAAACTACACTTCCATGTTCATATGTTCTGAAGTTTCAGATTAAACAGGATTAAACAGTGTTTCTGCCCAGTGTATACCAGGTCAGAAATGAAATCTGTTACTAGAATTTAGGCACAGTAAAATTTGCTTAAAAGCCAAAAGGCTACCAACCCAATTCTCTCAGGGAATTATGGTGACAAAAACTCAGGCACTTCTTGATACTTACTGTTATAACATCTTCCTTGTTTTTAAGGCTTTTAAGAAACCACAGTCATATCCTGTCATATCCTATCACCTTTGTGTGAGTTTTTCATTCCACTCATCTCAACTCCACCTCTCCCTGACACCTTCTGTCCCAAAATGTATTCCACTCTTTTTGACTCAGCTGCAACTTATTTGGAAAACACGTTAAGTTCAATTGTTTGGTAGTTTTCAGTTTTATCTGTAAAGAATTTTGACTTTAATCACAAAACTCTTGCAAACTCTTAGTTCCTTCTATCTGCAAAGAAGAGTACTATATCAACTCTTTTTTCTCCCTCCCAAATGTGATTCTGCCTCCCTGTATCTCTATAAACTGCCAATGTTTTTGTATAAAACCATCAATCTTTGCAAAACCACATAATGGTGTTTTATTTAGTACAGTTTTAGATTTCTGTCTAAAGTTTGCAGATATCTATTGCATCTCTTTGTAAATTATTTTACTGCTAAATGTCTCCCAACATCGACTCTGCTTCCTGAAGGCTCACCTCAAGGTTTTGCTCAATAATTTTCTAAAAGCATGTTCTACATCTTACAAACTTTTGAAAAAGTACCAATTAAATCAATAGGGAAAAACACAACCAAAACGAAAAACACAATAGAACTGTGGAAGCTGACAATTAAACATGGATTTAAACTTTTTTAAATGGAAAACTAATTCACCTGTACACCTAAAAAAAAGTTAATGGTGCCAATGCCTAGCTCCATCCTTGGTAAAATGGAAAGTAAAATTATATAGAATTTAGTCTAGATCTAAATGTAACACTCTTTTATTTACACTGTCTCAAAGCACAAAACAGAAAATGTGGGTTGAATTTACCTCTCAGCATGTGGCTTTTTTAAGTCAAGAAGAACTAGGAATCTATACTACACAGTCTCCATGCCCCTGCATGCCATCCCATGCTATTAGTCTCCAAGATTCCACACACTTCAGATAACGCTGTTGAGGTTTTAATTTATAATTGATTTTATTTCTCTGTGTTTTCTATAAAAATAGAAAAAAGTCCCTGAAGTGAGACTTCTGACTCCAACTACTTAACCAAAACCCATATCCATCACAGACTTTACCATGCATGATCTTTTGATAAAGATTTGCATTTCCCTCTTGGCCCATTGAAGTAAAATTCTCACTTCCAGCTCTTAAGTAGGTTTTGCGACTTCCACTCTGTAGCCTATATAAATAGGCTATATATAAAGAAAGACCTGCTCCTCAGCAAAGAATTAAGGATTCAGTGGACCAAAGGGGACAAAGAGTGGAAAGCAGAGGAACTTGTGAATATGTTCCATCCTGGAATCTAACTGAAATAATGAAGAATTTCTTTCTTTATAATAATTTAATTCATAGTGAAAGCAATAAAAATGATTGTTTATAACATCTTTGACTGAGTCTAATAGACTAAATATACTGATCTCAAAATCTTGCTGCCTTTTGCTGTGAATCCTGCAATACTATTTTTTTTCCTTCCAAAATCACTCCTCCAAAGAGAATATAATTTTTAAATTATATCTACAAAAATAGAACAATTAAATGTAGCTATCTTGTTTTGACTCGCTTCTAGACAGAGTCAGAACTTACAAATCCTGTTTTTTAATCTTTTTTTATATTTCCCTGTCTGTTCCATCATTTCCAACAAGAAAAAGAAAGAAAACAAAATGAAAACCACAGAAAAACAAAATGGAACAAGATTAACTCATAATTAATGGAAACTATAATGAACTGCAAAATTAGGAATGCTGTTTCATATTGATTTTCAATTGGTTTGCCTATACTGTTTACCACTACAACACCTTGAAACATATAGTCTTGGAGTCCAAATAAGGGAACTGACAATAGGAAAAACTTCCCACAGCTAATACCCCTTCAGGAGGATATGGCAGCATCTACAAATCACTATTTCCAGTCCTTTTTATGGCATCATGTTCCTTAGTCATAATTTTTAAGTAATTAACTACATCAGGGATATAAATATGTAAAATGATGGAAGTGTCAGCATATTTGTCATTAGGGGGTCTGTTCCTTACAAATACAGAACATGGGATTTGAACACAAAACCTTTAGAAACATACCAGCTATTTCAGAGGTATGAAGCACTAAAGCATCAGTTGTTCTCCAGATTCCTTGATTCTTCTATCAAGATAAGATTCTATATTTGCATTTCAGTCATCCTATCATTCTTATTTTAGTGGAATTATCACAGCACATTGCCATGATAAATTGTTTCTTGTATATTTTCTTATATTCCTTGACTTTCCTACAACTGAAACAGTGGGACTGGGTCATCCACTATACGAGCAATAAAGGTGGAAAAACCCAGAAATATTAGTAGCAAAAAAAAGTAATATGCAAAACACTCAGATATCGCTGCCTTTTGATTGAAACACCTTAGAATAATTTTAATATATTTGATTAATTAGATTCTAAAATGTAGATATCTATTAAAACACTGCTAGTGGTACATCATGAATACTGTGGAACAAATACACAATTTAAGGTGACAGACACCATTGAATCCACCATCAAATCTACTTTTAGCAGAGAACAGTTTTACTATAAATAATTAATTTATATACTTATGTAATATAATTTATAAATATTCTAGAACTTTAAATAAGTATGATTTTTATATGTGAAAAATTTTAATGATATCTACAATACCTTATATATAATACTTAAGCAATATGAAATTAGTATTTTATGTGCTTATTATATTTCTTTTATATACTACAAAACTATATTAGCTACCTTGGTGATGTGGGTAGGACTCATATCACCAAATGCAGACCATGTACATAGTCACCTGACACTCCTTTATGCTCAGTACTGAGAAATAGTTACTGTCAAGAGTACTGCTATTTTCATCACAAGTACATATTAGAAATATGTACTTGTAGAATATTAGTGTATTTCCTCCTAAAATTTGTACTTTCTCTCCATTCACCATAAAATGAACTTAAGGTTAGCAGTTCAGGTTGCTCACATTGTGCACATGGGAAGTTAGAAGAGGGTGACTGCAAGCCTGAGCAGTTAGTTCCTGGAGCTCTTTAATGCAAGCAGTTTTACACTACCTGAAATGGCTTCTAATCCCCTGAAAATATGTTTAGAATAATATATGGCACTGCTTATAAAATACTACATTAAAAGTTAAACTAAAAATTTTAGTAACTGACATTTCTGCAGCTGATTATGTACTAAGCCACGTTTATTAGGAAAACAGTGGTAAAGTCACAGTTAGAGCAGTAGGAAGCCCAGCATTAGCTCCAGAGTCAAAGCACCAGAACAGATGACACCTCAGCTCACTTCAATATTGTGCTTCATATAAATCAATTCATCAAACTGCAGTTTGTCAAACTGCTGGACAACAAATCCTTTTGAAGTCAGAAGTACAATGAAGATATATCATTATGTATCA